TATGTTGCAGTGAGGACACCTTCTACAACATTCTACCCTTCTTATTGGCTGTTCATGAAGTCAACCAGAATTCAAGGCTCTTACCCAACATCACACTGGGCTACAACATCTATGAGAATTTTTTCAGTGCAAGAATGACATATGAGGCCATGCTGGATGTACTGTCTACAGGACAGGAGAACATCCCAAACTACAGATGTGGAAGACAAAAGAACCTGCTGGCGATTCTTGAAGAGATGGATTCTGAACTCTTTGATCATATTTCCAATGTCTTGAGCATCTATAAATTTCCACAGGTATAAAGCCAAATGAAATTAATTCTGTGTTGTAAAATGTTCAGATTTGCCTAGAAGTTAGCAGTTGTATATATTTCTCCAAATAAATTGAAAGTCAGAGAGTAAATATTAGAAGAGCTGAAAGAATTTTTAATTCACAAAGTATGTGTGTGTGTGTATATACATATGTGTGTGTGTGTGTGTGTGTGTGTCTATATACATACAGTATTGGGCTAGTGCTGGTTCAGCCTGGTTCTAGCACACCGGTAGTTCCGGCGGTCAGTTTTCCTTGTCCACCCACCCCCATCCTATCCTGTCCTATATTTCTGCGTTTTTCACCTCAACTGATTTGCGTGGCATGGTGGATTTCCATGCTTCACCTGTTTCACTTACTGGGGCTGCCCTAGAAGATAAACTATGGAGCTTGAAATTGGTGTATTTTGAATTCTACGCACAAAGCACGTGCTCACAGAAACACATACACATATGTGGTTGAACTAGAAGAGTTTCCAGCTCTATTCTGATTGACTAATTGACTGAGCGGATGGGTAACCCACAGGGTTCTGATGTGGACAGAAGCATTTGCTCTATGAGGACCACCAATGAACATCACCCACAGATAATTCAGAGCTCCCTGGTTTCAAAGGGAGGATGCAAGACAACAGGACAGAACATCAAGGGAACTAGCAAAATTCATGCAGTTATCATTTAAAACGTCTCTCAGCAGTGTGGAAAGGTCCTTAGATTTACCATCTGAATTTTATCATTAAAACTGGCACAAACTACTGTTGGAAGAAATATCCTTCTGGGTTCAACTCCAAGTGGGGAAAAAGACACTGGATTCATGAAAGTTGCTTGGAAAGATGGTTTTAATGGTGGACAGGATCACATGGATGAAGAAAAAAGGGAAGAGATACTGAGAGTGCCTGAGTTTTATGCCCTCTCTGGGCTTTTGAATTCGAGCTTGTATTCTTTTTTTTTGTTGTTGTTGTTGAAAAAAATTTTTTTTAAACATAACAAAACATAAAAACAACCATCATTCAATACAATCACAGAAAGTGTGTCGATCAGTTAAGATTCTTTTGTGCTTAGTCCCAAATCCAAGATTACAAATCATTTAATTTCTCTTTTTTGACAATTTTCTTCATACCTTTTGTCATTACCTTAATTTCATATTTCATACTTCATGCTTTATTATCTAGCCATTGATAAAACAAATCCCATATCAAATAGTATTGTTTGTCTTCCTGTTCTCTAATTTCAAATGTCAGTTTACTCATTTCAGCACATTCCATAATTTTCTTAAAAACTTTATCATCAGTAAGTATTTTCTCTTTTTTCCAATTTTTAGCAAATACAATTCTAGACGCTGTTAAAACATTCACAATTAAATATCTCAATTCTTTATTATAAATTTTTGGTAAAATCCCTAATAAAAATATCTCTGGTTTAAAGTCAATGTGTTTCTTTGTCATTTTTTCTAACCATGTGTGGATTTTAGTCCAATATCTTTTAGCTTCTGCACATGTCCATCACATATGGTAATATGATCCTGGAGTCTGATGACATTTCCAACATTTCTCCGATTTATTCTTGAACATTCTGGCTATTCTCGCCGGGGGTAGATGCCACTTGTAAAACATCTTATACAAATTCTCCTTATATGCTGTAGACATTGTCATGTTACAATTTTGCAACCACAATTTTTGCCATTTCTCTAAATCTATCCCATGACCAACGTTTTTCCCCCATGCTATCATTGTTTCTTTGACTTGTTCTTCTTCCAGTTTTACCTCTGATAAATAACCATATAATTTTTTAATTACATAGTCAACAGAACCCATTAAGATCTTATCTAAATTAGTCATAACATCATAAAAACCTTCTTGTTTAAAATCTTCTTCATATCTAGAATGTATTTGCAAATAAGAAAACCAATCCATCTTAAAACCTTGTTCTTCCAATTCTTGCTTCGATTTAAGTTCACCCTTTTCATCCATTAATTCACTATATCTAACAATTTGTTCCCTTCTAAATATTACTGAATATGAAAATGCTTCAATCATTGATAACCAGACTGGAATTTTCAAATAGTGTTGTTTTTTAATCTTCTCCCAGTTTAATAATAAAGCCTCACGTATATGATGTCTTCTAAAATACCCCTGTACTTTTGTTCCTTTATACCATAAAAAAGCATGCCACCCCATTAACAAATCATGACCTTCTAAATTCAATAATCTAGTATTTCTTAATGTTATCCATTCTTTGATCCACATCAAACTTGTCGCTTGAAAAAAAGTTCCCAATTAGGTAAACCAAACCCCCCTCTCATTCTAGCATCTTGTAATAACTTTAATTTTATCCTCGCATTCTTTCCCTGCCAAATGTATTTTAACACCATTTTATTCAATTCTTCAAAAAAGTTTTTCCCCAATCTAATTGGAATTGTCAGGAACAAATATAAAATTCTTGGCAAAATATTCATCTTAATACTTGATATCCTTCCAATCAATGAAAGCTGTAAGTTTTCCCATTTTGCCAAATCTGTCCCTATCTGTTTAAGTTTATTATAATTATTTTCTTTAAGTGTACTACATCTTGCTGTCAAATATATCCCCAAATATTTGACTTTATTTGTGACTTGCATCTTTGATATATCCGCCAATTCTTCTTTTTGCTTTATCAACATATTTTTAGTCAAAATCTTTGTTTTATCTTTGTTGATTTTCAAGTCAGCTACTTTCCCAAATTCTCCAATTTTGTCTATCAGTGTAATTATTGATGTTAATGGATCTTCAAGAATAAAGACCAGGTTATCTGCAAATGCTTGCAATTTGTATTCTTCTTTTCAAATTTTCATTCCTTTTATGTCTTGTTCTTCTCTGATACTTCTATTTAGCACTTCTAGTGTTAATAGACATTCTAGTGTTAATATAAACAACAGAGGGAACAATGGACAACCTTGTCTGGTACCTTTTTTTATCTCGATAGAGTCTGTCAATTCTCCATTTATCATTACTTTTGCCGTTTGTTTATGATATATTACTTCAATTGATTGGGTAAATTTTTTACCAAAGCCCATCTGCTCCATTTGCATCTAAGAATATCAGAGCCATTTGCTTTGCAGGATGGGCTTCATAGTATTCCAAAGTGTCCAGAATTATTCTCATGTTATCTCTAATTTGTCTTTTTGGCAGAAACTCATTTTGATCTGAATGTATAAAATCATTTAAATATCTTTTATTTAAAGTATTGTAGCAAAAATTTATTGCCAGTATTGTAGCAAAAATTTTATAATCTGAATTTAGTAGGGATATAGGTCTATAGTTTTTGATTTGTTGTGGGCCAGTGTCGTCCTTGGGAATCAATGTAATATATGCCTCTGACCATGACTTGGGTATTTCCTTCTTTGTCATCACTTCATTCATAACTTCTAAAAGTGGGAGACTCAAGGAATCTGCAATGTCCTATAATATTCCACTGGCAATCCATCTGGCCCTGGTGCCTTCCCATTCATTTGTTTTTTTAATTGCTTCAGTTAGTTCCATCATCATTATGTTTCCCTTTAGCAACTCCTCAATATCTTCAGGTATCCTAGGTAAATTTGCATTTTGAAGATATTGTCTCACATATTCCTCCTCTATCTTTTCTTTCTCATATAATTGTCTGTAATAGTCCTGTATATTTTTTTTCTTCTCTTTATTTCCAAATTTACTTTGTCCTTGGTCATCAATTAGTTGTATTATTTTTCTTGATTCTCTCTCTTTTTTCAATTTAGATGCTAACCATCTTCCTGGTTTATTTGCATTCTCAAAATAATTCTGCTTAGTACTTCTGATTTTTGGGGCTAGTTTTTCTTTCTCCAGTAACTCCATTTTATGTTTAATTGTATCCTTTTTTATTTTGACATCTTTTTTATGTGGACATTTCTGGAAGTCTTTTTCAAATCTCTTATAATCTTCTTCCAATACTTTATATGTTTGTCTTTTCTTAATATTCCTCTTCCTTGTATAGTCTATTATCAAACTTCTGGCATAGGCCTTCAGCTTGTATTCTGATTGGTTATCAGGCTCCCATGGGGCCATGCAGGGGCAACTCTGTAGGCTGTGTTTTGAGTCCAGGTTTGGTTGAGCCTTGGTGGATGGTGATGTAATGAAAGGGCTTAGGGATTTCTATTATGGTTCTGCCTGAAGCAGGTAGATCTTTGTTATGTAGAATAGACTGGCTCAGGCCTTAATGGCCCATTGACAAAGGTGGGTGGGGCTGAGTTTCTGCCCTCATAATATTTCTTAAAATATCTAAATGTGGTGGTTCAGTGGCTAAGATGCTGAGCTTGTCGATCAAAAGGTCGGCAGTTCTGCAGTTCGAATCCCTAGTGCTGCATAATACTGTGGCTCCCGTTACTTGTCCCAGCTTCTCCCAACCTAGCAGTCCAAAAGCATGTAAAAATGCAAGTAGAAAAATAGGGACCAAATTTGGTAGGAAGGTAACAGCATTCCGTGCGCCATTGGCATTTAGTCATGCTGGCCACATGACCATGGAGACGTCTTCAGACAGTGCTGGCTCTTCAGCTTTGAAATGGAGATGAGCACTGCCCCCTAATGTTGGGAACGACTAGCACATATGTGTGAGGGGAAATTATATTGTTACTGAAAATATCTCATTTTCCTAGGAGGGGGTGGGTGCTAACTTCCTACACTACCAATACCTTCTCTTTCATCTTAGATCAACTATAGTGTCATCAACCAGATGGCTGAGCAAAATCATCGTTTTCCTTTTTCATATCGGATGACCCCAAACCAAGAACCTCCTTACTCAGCAATCATCCAGTTGCTCCTGCAGTTCCAATGGACGTGGATCGGCCTCCTTTCTCAGGACAATGAAAAAGGAGAAAAATTCAAAAGACGCTTGGAAGTTCTCGCTCTCAAAAATGGGATTTGCATTGTCCTCTCAGGATCTGTCCCAGAAGCAAATATGAAGACAAGTGCTGGAGAAACTCACATGCAAGAAAAATGGAAAATGTTCCTTTCTCTTATCAAGAGTCAAATAAAAATTATAGTATGCCAACTGGATTTTCAGGCCTTGGGAATGTTAGTAACAATAATGCAAATGATTGATACATCCATTGTGGGAAGGGTGTGGATTGCAACAACTTTGACAGCTTTAGGTATAGATATTTTTGATCGCTTGCTTGATCTCCAAAATAAATATGCTTTGTTTTCCTTCCTCATCCAGACAAAGAGAAGGACTCAGTATTATGACTTTAATTCTCATGCATCTATGGTCACCTTGTATAGAAAGGAAGCGTTCCAATGTTCTTATTCAAGTCCTGTGTTATCTAAGAAAGTTTGGAAAAAATGCAGAGAAAAAGAGAATTGGGAATTCCCATCCCATGATGTGATTGCAAGAATCCTGTCTCAGGATTCTTCCAGTATTTCCCAGATAATTCAAATTGTGGCCTGGGTCCTCAGTGCTGCCTCTTCCTCCCAACGGAGTAAGAAGAGAATGCAAGTTGGAGACCATCAACCACCCCAGATTGTACAGCCATGGCAGGTAAGTCTTCTCCTTTGAGGTTCCATTGATTCTCCCCTTCCAATTCCTCAATATTAAGTTAGATGTAGAAAGAGGTGAGATATTTCAAAGAGCAGTTTGTCCAGTTTGTGGCATTTGAGACTCTGTGTCAGTTTCAGAGTATCAACCATGAAACTGACCTGACCGAGGCCATTCTGATGCTTCAGTGTTGCCACACTGGACCTGAGGGATAGAGAGGGAGGGGAGGAATAGAGATAGCTGGAGTTTTTTAGCCAAAACAAAATATTTTCTCCTGGGAACCAAGGACATTCCCAATGATGGCCGGAGGGAGGTGAGTGAAGTCACCAGGCAACCGGATGACACCTTCATTGACCATGTGACTGATTGTTTGGAAAGAGGAGGAAAACTTTTACTTTTAATTAGGTGAAAACTGTGGGAACATTTAGAGTCAGTTTTCACCAGCCTATGCCTCTATGATATGTCCAATAAAACTGATATTTGAGGAAGCTGCTTGCCTTGTCTTGTTTGCCACAGATAGATTATTCAGAACACTGACATTAAACTGTTTCTAAACAAGTTTTTTCTTTTTTTCAAGGTTTTTTTTTTTTGAATTTTTTACAAACATATCAATGCGTGAACATTGTGGCACCTGAGTGACTTACATTTTGGTACAAATAAAATAATATTCATCATTTACTACAGTTGACAAGCTTATATAGTTCTGTAAAAGTACTCATATTTTGTTGAATTATAATCTTACATTATTAGTTATTCCATATTTCAATATGTTATTTTTATGCCAATCACCATATTCTGAGAGTCATTCCTTTTACTACAAATAAAATATTAATAATCATATTTGTTACATTTAACAAGTTTATATGGTTCTAAGAGTAATACACGTATTTATGTTAAATTATAATCTTCCATTATTTAATTATTCGATATTCCAATGTTATTTTTATGCCAATCACCATATTATTCAAACATTCTTAATAGTATCATCGTTCATGTTCTGATTTCCTCTCTTATTATTACTTCACCTTATTATATAAAGATGCGTATTCCGTTAATCCTCCTCTCTCTAGTTTCCGTCCCCTTTCTAGCTTTTAATTTTGCCACTTATTATCTTGAAAAATATTCCCTTTCTATCCACATTTTAGTGAAGATTTAGAGTCAGTTTTCACCAGCCTATGCCTATATGATATGTCCAAAAAAACCTGATATTTGAGCAACCTGCTTGCCTCAGACTCCTGTTTGCTATGGGCGTATTACTTGAAACCCTGACAGTGAGTTAGAGAGAGATAATAGAGAAAAATCTTACAAAGTTAAACAACCTGTCCTAGTTTGGGATGCTTTTGTGACAGAAATTGCTCTATGGTGACAACATAATTTTCAAAACTAAACAAGCATCAGAATATCCCAGCAATCCTCCACCTTTTATTGTGATTACAAGTGATCTAGTCTCCGCTAACTTCTTCTCCCATTACAAGTTTTCCCATATCTGCAAATGGTCTTGCCTCAGATGGGGCTGTGATGGTGAAGCAGGAAAACATAAAACCCATTAATCGGACAGGAGACCCTATGCCATTTCAGACAAATGGTTGCCCAGGTCTCTTTTTGAAAGCCTCCAATGATGGAGCACACCCAACTTCTGAAGGCTACCTATTCTATTGGTTGATTGCTCTCACTGTAACAAAAATTCTCTTTAGTTTTAGATTGCTTGTCTCCTTTGTTAGTTTCCAAGCATTGTTTCTTGTCTTGCCTATTGGTGCTTTGGGAAATGATATGATCTTGATTCTATCCCTATATTAACGCAGACTAGGATTGCATTGGCATTTTTGACTGCTGCCACACATTTTGTTGGCTCATATTTAAGTGATTGTCTACTAGGAGTACAAGATCCTTCTCACAGTTACTGACAATAAGCCAAGTTTCACATAGTCTGTACCTATACTGTTGGTTTTCCTTGCCTAAGTGTAAAACCTTACTTTTATCTATGACACCTTCATTGACCATGTGACTGATTGTTTGGAAAGAGGAGGAAAACTTTTACTTTTAATTAGGTGAAAACTGTGGGAACATTTAGAGTCAGTTTTCACCAGCCTATGCCTCTATGATATGTCCAATAAAACTGATATTTGAGGAAGCTGCTTGCCTCGGAGTCTTGTTTGCCACAGATAGATTATTCAGAACACTGACATTAAACTGTTTCTAAACAAGTTTTTTCTTTTTTTCAAGGTTTTTTTTTTTTTTGAATTTTTTACAAACATATCAATGCGTGAACATTTTGGCCTGTTTTTTAGGCTTTTTTCCACCGATTTTTGAGGCTTTTTTGCACCAATTTTTGAGGCTTTCATAGCCCATTTTTTAGGGTTTTCTCAGCCCATTTTTGGGCCTTTTTGGCCCATTTTTGTGGCATTTTTGGTCCATTTTTGAGGCATTTTTGGCCCATTTTAGAGGCTTTTTTTGGCCCATTTTCTAGGAATTTCTCAGTCTGTTTTCTCAACCCATTTTCTCAGCGTGTTTTCTAGTCTTTTTTTTGCCTGTTTTTGAGAATTTTTTCAGCCCATTTTCTAGGCTTTGTGTTGGATCAGGCGATGGAAGAGACAGGACTCAGTTCTAACAGTAACAACAGCTCTTTGTTAGTAGATCAGTGCAACCCAGAAGCCAGCTCATCTGACTGCTTAACCTTTTATAGGGAGCTGTCAGACAGGTCGGCCAATGGGGTTTGACTATTTTCCCGCTAGATTGGCAGACCCGAGTGAAGCCTATGCTCACTCCAATTCAATATGCAACACTTTCTTTGGCCATGTTTTTTTTGGGGAAAAAATGGGCCGAAAAAATCCTCAAAAACAGGCCCCCAAATCCTCAAAAATGGGCCAAAAAAGCCTCAAAAATGGGCTGAACAAAGCTCCAAAAATGGGCCAAAAAAGACCTGAAAAAGGCCAAATAAAGGCCAAAAAATGGGGTCTGAGGAGGCTAAAAAACAGCTGGTGGGTGGGCAGGGCTTCAGCAATATTCGGTCTATAAGACGCACATACATTTTCACCCCCTTTTGGGAGACAAGAAAGTGCGTCTTATAGTCCGAAATATTTGAAAAAGAGCTGTAAATTCCTGGAGAATGACTGAAAGAAGCTTCCCTTGAAATGTTGAACCAATCTGCTTCAGACTGCAGCGGTGATTTGAAGAAGTTGAATTATTCAGAGTACCTCCAATCCAGAATAATAGCAAGAAAAAAAAACATAGAATAAAGGCCCAAACCGTAATGTTTTTTCTATATTTCTGCAGCTTCATAGGTTCCTGAGAAACTTCCAACATCACAATATTTCCAGAGATGGGATTTCTTTTGATGAAAATGGAGTTCCTGTTGGTGACTTTGATATCATGCAGTGGACATCAGTTTTGAACAAATCAGATGTGGGGGTGAAAATTGGGACTGTAGAAAGACAAGCCTCCTCAGAAGTCAAGATTTCTGTCAATCAAACTGCTGTCCAATGGCCAACTTTATTTAACAAAGTAGTTGAGGCTGCTTGGATTTTGCTTTTCTATTTATCTCCATCTGCTCAGAAATAATTCTTATTGAGGCCAATTGAGATAACTTCCAAATAAGAGAATTTAAAGCCTCATTAATTTATTAGATATCATTTTACTTGAGAGATTTTACAATAATCTATCACACCGTAGCACCTGCTGCATTGTATTGCAGGATTTGCAATCTACATTATTAAACTGGAATATATTGCCACAATTTATAGTACATCACATTATCTTGTTTTCAGAAAGAGAAAATCCAGAAGGCCTATGGAGATTCTCAGTCATCCAGGTCACGATTGTGCCAAAGGTGCTTTTTCAAAAGGCACCTTGACTTTGTTTTCCCTTGAAGATGTCTCACTTCTCATCCAAGAAGCTTCTTTGGTTCTGATTGAATGGTGGAGGATGAAAAGATTTGGAACTGCTGAAAAGACTGTGTTGTAGACGGGATATAGATTCAGCAATTGCAGGAAGATTCCACACCCATTTGCCCTATTGACGTGACCCTGAGGGCACAGATAAATTCCAAGTGGCCTCAACTACTTTCAGAATGACTGCTAACGACCAGATGACAGCAAGGAATATAAATTCTTCCATACTTCACCATTCAGTCACATCTGAAGAAGCTTCTGGAATGAGAAGTGGAATGTCTTCAAGGGAAAAGAAAGATCAGTTGTCTTTTGAAAAAGCACCTTTGGGAGAAAATCCAGAATATGAAGGTTTAGCTCACTGAATTGCATAAGAGAAAGATATCACTAAGAATGTGGTGAAGGAAATGTTGGTAGCTAAAAAAGTCATTTACATATGACGATACAACGATCAGTTGTAGGAGAGAAAGATAGGGACTCTAAACAAATCTAAACAAATACATATACATATATTGTACTTTTCAGAGTATAAGACACACACCCCTAATCAGTGTGTTTTTGCCCTCCCCAGACCCCTAGGAGCAATCTGCAGGCCTCCCAAACCCTCTGCACATCCTTTTTTTTACAAAAAACAGGCCCATTTTTTGCAAAAACGGGATGTGCAGGGATTTGGGAGGCCTGAAGAGTGCTCCTAGGGGTCTGGGGAGGGCAAAAACTTTTTTTCTTGTTTTCTTCTTCAAAATCTTGGTGCGTTTTATACTCTGAAAAATACGGTACGTTATAGCATTCTCATACATGCCGTAAGTAGAAACACCTTTTGCAATGGAACTACTTTCCTTTGGGAAAAAAAATAATAAGGCAATGAGTCTGTTTTGGGAGACTGATAGAGAAAGAAAACGATCTTTCATTTGCCCCTTGCAAGTAGAGTAATTAAAGTTCATGCCACTACTTCTTGACTGATTTTGCTCAAAGTGACCCTGAGCTTTTAGAAGCCACTTGATTTCAGTAAATCCTTCTAATTCATATATCACCCTGACTAATCTTTCTGTTTATGTTTAGATGGTGCCTTATTCAAGATGTACAGAAAGTTGCTCCCCAGGTTATGCCAAGCTTGTGAGAGAGGGAGCCCCAGTTTGCTGCTATGACTGTTCTCTGTGTATGGAAGGAACATTCTCTGGGCAAGAAGGTACAGTAGGTGGCTTCAAAAAAAAAAAAAACTCAAAAAATAAATAAATCAAGATACAATCAATATTCTATCTTGTTTTTTGGGGGGGGGGGTATTTGATCAAGAAGCAAGAAAAACATTAAATTTCTTGAAGGCATCGACAAACTTCAAAGATTGGGCACTATTGCCAAATTTGGATGATGATATGAGCATTAAAATATATAATGAAAGATTGCTGATTTGTATTGAGTTGTTACTTTCTTGCTTTGTTTTGGGAAAGGAGATTTGAGAGCTGATAATCACATTCATCTTCAGCTTTTAAAAAGACTGTTTAATTATTTTAACTAATGCTGTATAATATTAATATCACTGAGGAGAAATATTATTCTTTGAAAATGCAGTATTTGATTTCTGATGTGGTTTTCATGCTCCTACAGCTGCAGAAACAGATTCATGCTAACCATTTTTTTTCTCAGATGCAGCCCATTGTGAAAAGTGTCCAGATGACCAGTATTCCAATAAGAAGCGAGATCAATGTGTCCCCAAAAATATAAGCTTCTTATCCTATCAAGAATTGTTGGGACTCATCCTGGCTTTCTTTGCCATTGCTTTGTCCCTAACCACCGCCTTTATTCTGGGAATCTTCATGAAATACCGAGACACTCCCATAGTCAAAGCCAACAACTGTGAACTCACCTACATCCTCCTGGTTTCGCTCCTGCTTTCTTTCTTGACTTCCCTTCTATTCATCGGTCGCCCCGTGAAAATGACCTGTCTCCTCCGACAAACCATTTTCAGTGTTCTTTTCTCAGTTGCTGTGTCTTCCTTGCTGGCCAAGACTGTCATGGTGGTGGTGGCCTTTCTGGCCACAAAGCCAGGCAGCAGCATGAGGAAATGGCTGGGGAAGAGTCTGGCCAACTCTATTGTTTTATCCTGCTCTGGTATTCAAGTAGGCCTCTGTATGATGTGGCTGGGAGTCTTTCCCCCATTCCCAGATTCTGACTTTCATTCCCAACCAGAACACATCCTGCTGCAGTGCAATGAAGGCTCTGTCACCATGTTCTACTCTGCTCTTGGCTACATGGGTCTTTTGGCTGCCATCTGTTTCTTGGTGGCATTTCTGGCTCGAAATCTCCCAGGGGCCTTTAATGAAGCCAAACTGATCACCTTCAGCATGTTGGTTTTTTGTAGCGTTTGGATCTCCTTTGTTCCCACATATCTGAGCACCAAGGGGAAATACATGGTAGCCGTGCAGATCTTCTCCATCCTGGCCTCTGGCCTGGGTTTACTGGGCTGCATCTTTATCCCCAAATGCTACATTATTATCCTGAGACCTGAAATGAACACCAAAGAACATCTGATGATAAAAAATCATTAAGTCTCCTTTTGCTGGTGTTTATTTTTGTATAGTTTACATGCAGCATAAAATCACATACTTCAAAGTAATGTTTTCTGTGTTGTCGCTTATCTTTCTTCATTCCATGTGAATTTTGAATTATAATAATTGAGTAGTAAAATTGCTAAAACTACTCAAACTATTTGAAATAATCATATCCTTCAATTGTCCTAATCTGAATTCATATTATGACATTAACAAAATTTCTGAAACCAGGCCAGATAAACTGTTACTAGAGATATTCTGAAATGGTTTTAGATTAAATTAAAGACTGTGGCTAATGATGATGTGTGTTTTTTTTTTTTTTTTTTTTTTTTTTTTACTATATAGGTCAGTCTCCTGGTGTTATATTTTATTTTCTGGGGTGATGTTCTGACTTTGTTTAAAAAATAGTTAATTTCAAATATGTATATATTTGATTGAACTCTTCTTGCTCGACAACGTAAGATCATTCATAGTTAGAAAAATGAGATAGATAAATGAGATAGAGAGAGAGAGAGAGGGAGAGAGAGAGAGAGGACATAAGTACCGTTTTTTCCCTGAACACCATCACTCTGCTAAACAAATAATTCCCTCAACACTGTCAAACTATTTACTAAGTCTGCACTACTATTAATCTTCTCATCGTTCCCACCACCCATCTCCTTCCACTTATGACTGTATGACTATAATTTTGTTGCTTGTATCATTTGTACCCTACGATTATCATTAAGTATGATTCTTGATTAACGTTTCTTTTCTTTTATGTACACTGAGAGCATATGCACCAAGGCAAATTCTTTGTGTGTCCAATCACACTTGGCCAATAAAAAATTCTATTCTATTCTATTCTATTCTATTCTATTCTATTCTATTCTATTCTATTCTATTCTATTCTATTCTATTCTATTCTATTCTGTATCCAATCTGTGCCAAAATTCCTTCTGGTATCAACCATTTAAAACCCACTCCTTTTTTAATCAAGCGTTTCATCAAAAATTGGTATTCTTTTCTTAAATCTCTCACTCTTCTTGGAACTTGTTTCAATGCCACTATATCTCTACCTTTATATTTTATCGTTGTGTTCCTCATAAATTGCAAAATCTCTGTTCTCAGCATTTTTTTGGTGAATCTAACATGTATTTCTCTAGGTAGATTATTTCTCATTGCATATCTTGTATACACTCATTATTCATTATCATTTCTGAGCTCTCTTTCATAACTTCCGCTAATATTTCAGCAATTTTTTCTAGTAAGTTCTCTCCTTTTTCTTCCTCTATATTTTGAAATCTTAAGTAAAAGTCAGCCTTATCCATTTCCAACTATATAATTGTCTTTTTCTGGCTTTTATCTATAGTTGTAAGTTTATAGTCCATCTCCTCCACCTTTTTCTCTGTTGCTTCTGCTTTCTCCTTCACGGTTATCAATCTTTGTTCATTTTTTCCCATTATCTCTTTCATCTTCTTTACTTCTACTTCCACTTTACCTATTCGTTATTTGAGCTCATCGTGCATTGCCTCTATCATATTTTTTAATTCCATGTTAGTTTTGTCTTGTTGTGTTATTTCTGCTGCTTTTTGTGCTGCGGAGCTTGGTGCTGCTGTTATTGATGGTGATGATAGATGTCGTGATAGCTTCTTCATCTTGATCTTTAATTTCAAACCACCCAATTTGTAATCCAAATATTATAAATAAATAATTATAATCCACATTTATCATCCTGGTCACCACAAGTCTCCAGGTTCTTGTTAGCCTAATCCATATGTTTGAAAAACGATGTTAACAAAACCAAACTCAAATGTTCCTCATAAAGGGAAACTAAAATAAGAGAAAAAATAAAAACAGTGGGAGAAAAAAGGAATCACAAACCACCAAAAATTGTAGAAATCAAGAGAAGAAAAAAGGAAAATAATTAAAAAGGAAAGAAAAACCAAGCACCCAAAAACCAGCCAAAAAAATATAAAAAACAAACATATATAAAAAATAAAAATGTAGGACTTCTGGTGGCAATGTCACACAGTGTGGGTGAGGGTGACTTTGACAACTCCCATAAACGCAGCTAATTCCTGAATAGGAGCCCCATAAGGGCAGTTCCAGACCCAGAGGGTCCAGAATATTAAAGGTGAAGGCTTCAAGCTTTGGACAAGATGCTAGCGTCCTGGAGAGTGAAAGCCGGACCCCTTAAATCCAGCAGAGAAAAATCTGCCTTTAAGGCAGATCGAAAGGGATGGCATCCGCTTCAGAGAGGAAGCAAAGAGTGATCTCAGCTGCAGCGGTTATTTGAAAGTGGAGGAAAGAAGAAGAAAAATAGTGAGACTTAAAATAAAAAACAGGCTTGGAAAAGAGAGTCACGTAGAGTATTAAAAGAGGCGATTAAGAGGAGAGCGCTCAGCAGGAGACGATCGAAAGAAGGCAACTTCTTCGGAAATAGACAGCAGAATCAACAAAGAAGATACAAAGTAACAACCTGGACTTTCTGGATCAATGCGGAGGAAATACAGCAGAGAAGAGAGAGAGAAAAAAGAGTAATTTAATTTAAAATGGTGACTTTGGATTTAAGATTAAAAAGTAAGAAGCTCCCTGTCTTTAGTTGGCAATTTGACTGGGCGATTTTTGAAAGGAGATTTGTGGACAGAGAAGTAAGTACAATTGACCGAACATTGTGGATTTATAAATATTAAGAAGGTCAATAAAGTGTAAGACTGTGTAAGACTGGAAATGGGGAAGAACTGAACGGTGGTGTGAACAATGAAAAAAATTCTGAACTGGACAATCTGGACAATCTGATGCAATAAGGAGCGGAAGGAGCAGAAGAAGGCATCTTAAAAAAACCACCTCCTGAGTTGAACTTGATTTAAGTATTATTTCTGAAAGGAATTTGCAATTGGGAAAGAAGGGATTCTGTTTTGCTGATTGTATGAATAAGTGTTATAGGTTATATAGAAAGGAGTAAGCATTAAAGGAGAATAGATAGTGGTGAAAAGGGGATTGTTTAAATAGTACAGTGTAAAGAGGTGGGAGAAAGAGGGTACAATAGTTGATAATTGTTGTTGGAAAGTCATATTTGTGAGGGGTATTATTATTATTTTAATTGGGATATAACATGGTAAAGTAAAGTAATCCTAAACGTTTATGATATTGTGGAGGAATTGGACCAAAAATTTAACAATGTCAACAACAATAACAATAGCAAAAATTGGGGGGGGGGAAACCTACAGTAACTCCAACTGTGATGGCCTCACCTACAATGCAGCGTTCGATTGAGACCATGCTAGGAAAAGAAAAGGATAAGATGGAGCCGACAATGAGCAGCATGCAAAATATGGTACAAACAATCCAAGAGACCTTGCTGAAATCACAAGAAAAAATGGCACACCACCAAGAGGAAGCTAGAAGATATCACTAAGAAATTAAAGATGAAATAGGAGAATTAAAGGATGATCTGAAAAGTATGAAAGAGAAGATGGAGAACATTCAATATACAGCAGTAGAGAATGAGCAGAAAGTAAAAAAAGTAGAATCTAAGGTAGATCAATTGGATTTAAAGTTAGAAATGGCAGAACAGTAAACATGACAATTAAACAAAGAACTGTCTGACTCCATTATTTTTTTGGAAATGGAGAAAGCTTCTTTCTTCCTGCATTCTCAGAACATCATCGAAGAGAAAGAAGATTTAGAAGAAAAAATTAGTGATATAATAGCAGAATTAGTATAGAGAGACAAAATGGAAGTAAAAGAGCCTTGGTGGCGCAGCAGACTAAAGCACTGTTAAGTAACACCAGCTGCCTGCAAATACTGCAAGTTCAAATCTCACCAGGCTCAAGGTTGACTCAGCCTTCCATCCTTTCGAGGTAGGTAAAATGAGGACCTGGATTGTGGGGGCAATAAGCTGACTTTGTATAAAAAAGAACACCGCTTTGGGGGGGTGGGGCGAAAGCTCTACTAAGCAGGTATATACAAAAGTATAAAGGCTATTGCTTAACGCATTGTAAGCTGCCCTGAGTCTCCGGAAAAGGGTGGCATATAAATTGAACCAATAAATAAATAAATAAATAAATAAATAAATAAATAAATAAATAAATAAATAAATAAATAAATAAATAAATAAATAAATAAATAAATGATTCAATAGATGAAATATTCCGAGTACATAACAACTATATTAGAAATCACCAGTTGGCACGGGAAGTACATATCAGATTCAGTAAAAAAACAATGAGAGACGAAATATATAAAAAATTAAGAGACAAAAAAGTAGCGTACAATGGGAAAGAGATTATTATCTTAAAGCAAATTCCATGAAGAGTACGAGATCAAAGACAGCTATATTACTTCCTAACATCTCAATTAATACAACATAAAGTAATGTTCTGATGGATTATGCCGGAAGGAATCCTTATCACATGGCAAGACAAAAAATTCAAAATTGATTCAGTAGAAAAAGCGCAGGAGTTCTATAAAAATTATTTAGAAGAAGAACAAGAAAGTAAAGATGAATCAGAAGGCAAAAGCCAAGAGAAGGAACAACAGAAGGAAATAGAAAGAGAGAAAGAACAAAAGAAAGCCCAAGAAAAGGAACGAGAAGAAAGAGAGGGAGCAAAAGGAAGAGTCAAGAGAGAGACAAGAAACACCAAAAGGCAAGTACAGTAAAAGATGGAAGAAATAATATCTTTATTCTCCGTGAATATGGCCTAAACGTACAGAAAAAGAGAGCCCAAATATTTACAAAACTTAAAAAATTAGATTTAGACGTGATTTGTTTACAAGAGGTCCACATAAAGAAAGATTTTCAAAAATTGTTGGAAAATAAGAAATTAGGAAAATTATATGTGGTACTATCTCAACAGAAAAAAAGGGGAATAGCAGTGTACATAAAGAAAAGAATAAAATCAGAATTAAAATATGTGGATGATGAGGGTAGAATTTTGATGGTCAGATTAGATACTGAAACGAAACAATTCTTACTAGTAGTGATTTACACCCCTAATACTAATCAAAAAGATTACTATAAAAAATTACACAATAAAATATTAGAACAAGAAATAGAAAATATATGTATAATAGGAGACCACAACACGATAGTTGATACCTGGAGAGAAATCAACAAAGAAGAAAGACAGTACACATACTATTCTCATCTGCATCAGTCGTGGTCCAGGATTGATATAGCTTGGATGACAACACAATTGCAATTGGAGATAGAAAAAATAGATATTGGAATAAATGAATGGGCGGACCACAATCCTATAATAATACATTGGAAGGGACAAAAAAGATATAAAAAGTGGACTCTAAGCCAGTATATATGTAAGGAGAAAGAATATAAACAATTAATGGGAAAAGAGATAGAGATCTTTTTAGGTATAAATAAAAAAGAATACACCTTGCCCCAAAATCTTTGGGATACCTTAAAAACCTACATTAGAGGGGTGTCAATTGCATATATTGCAAAGAAAAAGAAAGAGAAAAGATACCAACAAAATAAACTACAGGAAGAACTCCAAAATCTAGAAGAAAAGCTATATAAAGATCCTCAAAATAAGAAAGTTAAAGAGGAAAGGAGAATAACTAAATATAAATTAAATTTGATCACACAAGAAGAAATAGCTTTGAAAATAAAGACAGAGAAACAAAATTATTTTGAACATGCAAACAAAATAAGTAGATGGTTAGCCTACAAGCTGAAAAAAGAAAAAGATAAAAGAACGATACAATATCTGAAAGATGAAGAAGGGGAAACTCGATACAAAAAAGAAGACAAAAAAAGAATAGTACATACCTTCTTCTCCAGATTATATACACAGGAAGAAAAGAAGGAAACCAAAATCCAGAGATATTTAGAGGAAATCAATGTTTGCAAATTGACAGAGGAACAAAAAGAAATATTGAATAGACCAATCTCTGAAACTGAATTTGGAATGGCAATAAAAAAACAAAAGCACTAATTACACTGATTCATAAGGAGGATTCTAATCAACAATTAATAAAAAATTACAGGCCTATCTTTCTATTGAATTCTGATTATAAATTATTTATGTCGATAATTGCTGAAAGATTAAAGGTGATTAAAGGTGATTCTGAACAAACATATACATTTGGACCAAAGTGGATTCCTGCCAGGACGTCAAATCAAAAATAATACATGTACAATAGTTGATATACTAGAGTACTACGAAGTACACTCAGAGAAACAATTTTCACTGGTTTTCCTTGATGCACAAAAAGCCTTTGACAATCTGAACTGGAATGTTATGATACAATTAATAAAGAAATTGGATTATGGACAAAAATTTGGACAAATGGTTGAAAAAAATTATTCAAAACAGACAGCAAAAGTATTGTTTAATCAGGACATGACAAAAGGCTTTGAGATAACAAAGGGAATAAGACAAGGTTGCCCACTCTCCCCACTTCTGTTTATTCTATTACTGGAGTCACTCTTAAATAGAATTAGGGAAGATCAAGAAATAAAGGGTTTGAGAATTAAAAATGAGGAATATAAAGTCCAGGCATATGCAGATGATATGGTCTTCATAATTGAAGAACCTTTAGAATCAGGCCCTAAATTGATCAAAAAAATAGAAGAATTTGGTGTAGTAGCAGGCTTAAAAATTAATAAGAATAAATCGAAATTATTAACTAAAAATCTCACAAAAAAACAGGAGACAGAATTAGAAAGGATTATGAATATACAAGTAACAAAAAAAATTAAATACTTGGGAATTTGGCTGACTGCAAGAAGCTCCTCAATTAAAAAAGAAAACTATGATAAATTAATCGAGCAAATTGGGAAAGATTTGGAAAACTGGACAAAGTTGCAGATTTCATGGATGGGAAGAGTGGCAGTGATAAAAATGTACATCTTGCCCAAAATTTTATTCCTCTTCCAGGTTATCCCGATAAAAATAGAATTTTTTTTGACCTATTAAATAGATTGACTACAAAATTTATTTGGCAAGGGAAGAAGCCTAGAATTAGACTAAAAGTACTACAAGACACTAGAGATAAGGGGGGGGCTGTCTTCCCAGATTGGGAGTCTTATTATCAAGCAGCAGGATTAGTCTGGATAAAGGATTGGCTAGAGTTAGAAAATAAAAGATTGCTAATATTAGAAGGACATGATTTAGCTATAGGGTGGCATGCATTTCTGTGGTGGGGGGACAAAATACCCATGGATACTTTAAA